CTTGTGTACTTGTTTGTGTTAAATATTAACACCTGAAGTCGTTAAGGAAATTTACAACAAAAAAACAAAACGGAGTTAATGTAATATTTCGGGCAAAAAATTTGTAAGGCTATAGGCCACTATATTTACTAATATATAGTCCTGAGGGTAGACTAGACTGTAATTCAGTAATAACTAGATTATTGTCCAAAATATAAACTCGACTATAATCTAGACATACTATAGATGAGGCTACAGTTAGAGTATAGATCAGATTGCAGTCCAGACTATAGACTATACCGTAGTACAGACTATAGACTAAACTATAGTCCAGACTATAGACTAAACTACAGTCCAGACTATAGAGTTAACTATAGTCCAGACTATATATATATCTTTTTCACAGTTTATAGTCTAGACTATAGTTTAGTCTAAAGTCAGAACTATAGTGTAGTCTCTAGTTTGGGCTATAGTTTAGTCTATATAGTCTGGACTATAGACTACACTATAGTCCAGACTATAGACTACACTATAGTCCAGACTATAGACTACACTATAGTCCAGACTATAGACTACACTATAGTCCAGACTATAGACTACACTATAGTCCAGACTATAGACTAAACTATAGTCCAGACTATAGACTAAACTATAGTTCAGACTATAGACTATACTATATTCAAGACTATAGACTACACTATAGTCCAGACTATAGACTAAACTATAGTCCAGACTATAGAGTTAATTATAGTCCAGACTATAGACTAAACTATAGTCCAGACTATAGACTAAACTATAGTTCAGACTATAGACTATACTATATTCAAGACTATAGACTACACTATAGTCCAGACTATAGACTAAACTATAGTCCAAACTATAGAGTTAATTATAGTCCAGACTATAGACTACACTATAGTCCAGACTATAGACTACACGATAGTCCAGACTATAGACTATACTATAGTTCAGACTATAGACTATACTATAGTCCAGACTATAGACTACACGATAGTCCAGACTATAGACTATACTATAGTTCAGACTATAGACTATACTATAGTTCAGACTATAGACTATACTATAGTCAAGACTATAGACTACACTATAGACTATATTGTAGTCTATAGTCCAGACTATATAGACTAAACTATAGTCCAGACTAGAGACTACACTATAGTTCAGACTTTAGACTAAACTACAGTCTAGACTATAAACTGTGAAAAAGATATCGAAAGATAATGATTTTTTTCCATTCTTTAACCAACTCTGAAAGTGTTAAAACTACGGGAATAGTACCTCCATTTAGTACTATTTGACTGATCATATCCACAGTACAGTAAAGACACAAACCACTGCTCTAATATATTACCAAATTAAAAGCCTATTTTTAGGCTAAATTAAAAAAAAAAACAAATTATACAAAGATCCATTACTTCCTCCCCACAGTTCCCATGCTGACTATATATCCCATTATCATCAGCATAACTTTTCCTGTGTAGATTGGAAAAAAGCGCCCGAAGCTACGGCTGGTAATTGCACCAGATATACCAGATATGGAGCTATTAGATGTTATGGTGGCATGAATAACGTGTTAACATCAAAGTAAATATTTTTATCTAAAGTTTACAAGTTTCAGTTATAAATTTATTAATATTAGTGATATTTACAGTGATCAGAAGGTGCGTAAAATGGAAGAAATCATTTTTTGTGGTTGGCCCGAGCAGGTCTTTAATCCAGTTATAGATTTACAGCCATTTCCGAAAATAAAATCTCTGACAATTGAGTACAGTGATATGACAGAGATAATATTTGATTTTCCGGAAATGTTTTATTTGCAGGTAAGTTGAAATAACTTCTAAGTAAAACTAAGACTAATTTGCTTAATTTTCTTTTCATTCCTTTAGACCATAAATATCTCCTGGACTAATTTGTCACACATAGCTCCTAGAACTTTTAAACGAATACATACTCTCAGAATAGTGGACTTAAGATGGAATCAGTTAATACAATTGGATAGTCCTTTGGCCTTGCCCAGAACATTCCAAGAACTATATTTGGCTGGTAAATGTTGAAAAGCTTTGTCTAAAAAAGAAAATTTCTTATAATCTTACAGTTGTCTCTTAGGTAATCCTTGGAATTGCACCAGAAACTTTAAATGGCTGCTAATACCGGAGAAGGCCAAAGTGGTGGCTGATCGTGATCAATTATATTGCTCAGATCGTAAATATAAAGACAGACTTTTGCTAACAGTGGTGAATTATAAAGTGGTGAGTATTAGTAGAGATTTTTTAGGGAATTTGTCTTTTCTAAATTGTTCCCTATTTTAGACCTTGAAGAACGCTTGTTTGTCACATCCAGATATCCAAAATTGTACTTGCATTATGCATCATATTATACCCAAGTCCTATATACCTTTATATACGGTTAATTGTTCAAATTTGGGTTTTGATCGCTTGCCTACCTATTTACCGGAAAACACTACCATGTTTTTTGCCAATGACAATAAGGTAAGTTAGTTTCCAAGGAAAAGATGTAAATATAGGAGTAAATTATCTTGTAATATTTATCTAGAAAAGCGTGGAAATATACTTTAAGTTTGTTGATATTTTGTTTACAGATCAGTGATGTTTCACCTTTACGCAATAACATCCATTATCGCTATGTGGTTGATGTACATTTGGAAAATAATTCGGTGGAAAATATCGATGTTTTAGAAGGAGGCTATTGGTTGGAACATTTTCGTTTGCTGAATTTGAAAAATAATAAATTGAAAAAGGTATTAAGATCAAGATCAGTTTTAGATCAGTTCTAGTTCAGTTCTAGTGCAGTTTTGGATCAGTTCTAGTACAGCTTTGGTTCAGTTCTAGTCCAGTTCTAGTTCAGATCTAGTTCAGATCTAGTTCAGTTCTAGTTCAGTTCTAGTTCAGTTCTAGTTCAGTTCTAGTTCAGATCTAGTTTAGATCTAGTTCAGTTCTAGTTCAGTTCTAGTTCAGTTCTAGTTCAGTTTTAGTTCAGTTCTAGTTCAGTTCTAGTTCAGTTCTAGTTCGGTTCTAGTTCAGTTCTAGTTCAGTTCTAGTTCAGTTCTAGTTCAGTTCTAGTTCAGTTCAGTTCTAGTTCTAGTTCAGTTCTAGTTCTAGTTCAGTTCTAGTTCAGTTCTAGTTCAGTTCTAGTTCAGTTCTAGTTCAGTTCAAGTTCAGTTCTAGTTCAGTTCTAGTTCAGTTCTAGTTCAATTCTAGTTCAGTTCTAGTTCAGTTTTAGTTCAGTTTTAGTTCAGTTTTAGTTCAGTTTTAGTTCAGTTTTAGTTCAGATCTAGTTCAGTTCTAGTTAAGTTCTAGTTCAGTTCTAGTTGAGTTCTAGTTGAGTTCTAGTTGAGTTCTAGTTCAGTTCTAGTTCAGTTCTAGTTCAGTTCTAGTTCTAGTTCAGTTCAGTTCTAGTTCAGTTCTAGTTCAGTTCTAGTTCAGTTCTAGTTCAGTTCTAGTTCAGTTCTAGTTCAGTTCTAGTTCTAGTTCTAGTTCAGTTCTAGTTCAGTTCTAGTTCAATTCTAGTTCAGTTTTAGATCAATTCTTGTTCAATTTTAGTTCAGTTCTAGATCAGTTCTTGTTCAGTTCTAGTTCAGTTCTAGTTCAGTTCTAGTTCAGTTCTAGTTCAGTTCTAGTTCAAGTTCAGTTCTAGTTCAGTTCTAGTTCAGTTCTAGTTCAGTTCTAGTTCAGTTCTAGTTCAGTTCTAGTTCAGTTCTAGTTCAGTTCTAGTTCAGTTCTAGTTGAGTTCTAGTTCAGTTCTAGTTCAGTTCTAGTTCAGTTCTAGTTCAGTTCTAGTTCAGTTCTAGTTCAGTTCTAGTTCAGTTCTAGTTCAGTTCTAGTTCAGTTCTAGTTCAGTTCTAGTTCAGTTCTAGTTCAGTTCTAGTTCAGTTCTAGTTCAGTTCTAGTTCAGTTCTAGTTCAGTTCTAGTTCAGTTCTAGTTCAGTTCTAGTTCAGTTCTAGTTCTAGTTCAGTTCTAGTTCAGTTCTAGTTATGTTCTTGTTCATTTCTAGTTCAGTTCTTTTTCAGTTCTAGTGCAGTTTTAGTATAGTTCTAGTTTAATTCTAGTCTAGTTCTACTTTACATTAATAAAAAAAAAACGTGATTTTTTCTTCCCCAGATTCCCGTCTACGCTTTGGACAACGCCTTAGATGACAATCCCAATGCCAATCTCCTGTTGCTGAGTCAAAATCCCTGGTATTGTTCTTGTAAATTTGCCATGAGATTTAGAGAAATCCTTAACAAATACAATGCTATATTACGAGATGCTTGGAACATATCCTGCACTTATAAACAAGGAGATGAATTGAAAACTTCAAAAATTTTAGCCATTAGCCGGGAAGATGTTTGTAAACCCAAAGATGAGTCAAAAATACATGCATTAGATTGGGTTAATGGTCTACTGGCTTCATTAATAGTGTTTATTTTGGGTAAATTGGCCTATGATTATTACTATTATAAAAATTATGGTCGTGTGCCATGGATAGTAATGAAATTGCCTTGAAGAGGTTTAAAAAGAAAATAATTTTAATGTGATATTAGAAAATCTATCAATTTAAGGCTTTTTAATTGTGGATTTTAAATCCTATTTGTTTTACTTATTAATTAAGTTCTTTTAAGTATTATTTTTTTTTTAATGTTAAATATTCATAAATATTTGTTTTCTTTTATTTAAGTAAATTTGTGACTTTTTTGTACATTATAATAAATGTATATATTTTATAGTATTTTTACAAATAACTTTTACTACTATAATTTAATCATAAAAAAACAATAAAAACTAAACAAAAATAAAATAGGAAACTTTTTTTTATATTTTAATAATGAAACAAATAAACTACCAAATTCATTTGAATTTCAAAAAGGGATAGTTTAATTTGTTTTACTATAAATCATTACGTATATAATTTGTGCTAAAAATATATCTATGCACAATAAACAAAGCTGCTATGTTAATAAATTTCATTATTATTCTTAAGGAATACCTGAGTATGTCTATCATGGACTCTTTTAGTGGTTCGTTTTAATTGATAAGGTGTTTGTTTTTGTAGCACAACTTTTAGCAAGCAATCTTTGGGCATTATTTTTTTGTAAGAGACACACACATTAAACTATCTAATCTATGTTATCAATATCATTTACTTTGTCTTTTTTCTCTTGATTTTCTTCTTCATTAAGATCTTTTTCTGGGTCTTGATTGTTTTCTTCGTTATTGCCATTGGCTTGATTTAATTTTCTATTAGTTTCTTCTTGTATTTTACGTTCATATTCACGTACATCTTCCAAGGTCATGCCATACCATTCATCGATCCAGGTAAAGGCTTGACGGTGGCCCAATAATAACACATCTCTTATAGAGCGTTGGATAAAGTCCTCTACTTTGGTTTGCAGGCCCCAGACTTCAAAGGAAGCATCCACCAGTTTATAGGAACACATTATAGGTTTGTCACAATCACGCCAACCCTCCACCAAAAGACCGCGATCTTTATTAGACATTAAAAAACATATTATTCTTCTCTAACATTTTTATTCCAAAAAACTTACTTGTTTTTTCTGATTTGAAAAATTTGGGATCTTCTTCCTTTTTATAATGTTTATTATTGGGCAATTCATCAAAGGCTATATCAATATTATCTACTATACGTTGCTTTAACTGTTCCTCAGTTAAATTTAAACACTTTTGTAGAAAAAAATATTAAAATTTAATGTTTTTCATTAAAAGAGTAGAATGAACTTACATTTTCTGAATTTCCATTATTGTCTTCATATTTTGTTTTTATGGAAACATTTAATTTAGGTACAAAGGAACACTAAAATCAGATCTCTGTAAAAAACTTTGTTTTACGTATTTTAAAACAATGACTTACTGTGTATTCTATTTAGCATTTAGTCGAACGGTAGGCAGTTTTAAAAAGAGGCAAAAGAAAAAAAATTTTGGAATTAAATATAGAAAATAATACTAATTGATGATCATGGTTTAGTTAATGGACGTTGTTAATGATATTATCAGTTTTAGTTCAATTTCAATTATATCAATTCTTGTTCAGTTCTAGTTCATTTCTAGTTCATTTCTAGTTCATTTCTAGTTCAGTTCTAGTTCAGTTCTAGCTCAGTTCTAGTTCAGTTCTAGTTCAGTTCTAGTTCAATTCTAGTTCAGTTCTAGTTCAGTTCTAGTTCAGTTCTAGTTCAGTTCTAGTTCAGTTCTAGTTCAGTTTTAGTTCAGTTCTAGTTCAGTTCTAGTTCAGTTCTAGTTCAGTTCTAGTTCAGTTCTAGTTCACTTCTAGTCCAGTTCTAGTTCAGTTCTAGTTCAGTTCTAGTTCAGTTCTAGTTCAGTTCTAGTTCAGTTCTAGTTCAGTTCTAGTTCAGTTCTAGTTCAGTTCTAGTTCAGTTCTAGTTCACTTCTAGTTCACTTCTAGTTCACTTCTAGTTCAGTCTAGTTCATTCTAGTTCAGTCCTAGTTCAGTCCTAGTTCAGTTTCAGTTCAGTTCTAGTTCAGTTTTAGGTCAGTTCTAGTTCAGTTCTAGTTCAGTTCTAGTTCAGTTCTAGTTCAGTTCTAGTTCAGTTCTAGTTCAGTTCTAGTACAGTTCTAGTTCAGTTCTAGTTCAGTTCTAGTTCAGTTCTAGTTCAGTTCTAGTTCAGTTCTAGTTCAGTTCTAGTTCAGTTCTAGTTCAGTTCTAGTTCAGTTCTAGTTCAGTTCTAGTTCAGTTCTAGTTCAGTCTAGTTCTAGTTCAGTTCTAGTTCAGTTCTAGTTCAGTTCTAGTTCAGTTCTAGTTCAGTTCTAGTTCAGTTCTAGTTCAGTTCTAGTTCAGTTCTAGTTCAGTTCTAGTTCAGTTCTAGTTCAGTTCTAGTTCAGTTCTAGTTCAGTTCTAGTTCAGTTCTAGTTCAGTTCTAGTTCAGTTCTAGTTCAGTTCTAGTTCAGTTCTAGTTCAGTTCTAGTTCAGTTCTAGTTCAGTTCTAGTTCAGTTCTAGTTCAGTTCTAGTTCAGTTCTAGTTCAGTTCTAGTTCAGTTCTAGTTCAGTTCTAGTTCAGTTCTAGTTCAGTTCTAGTTCAGTTCTAGTTCAGTTCTAGTTCAGTTCTAGTTCAGTTCTAGTTCAGTTCTAGTTCAGTTCTAGTTCAGTTCTAGTTCAGTTCTAGTTCAGTTCTAGTTCAGTTCTAGTTCAGTTCTAGTTCAGTTCTAGTTCAGTTCTAGTTCAGTTCTAGTTCAGTTCTAGTTCAGTTCTAGTTCAGTTCTAGTTCAGTTCTTCTAGTTCAGTTCTAGTTCAGTTCTAGTTCAGTTCAAGTTCAGTTTCTAGTTCAGTTCTAGTTCAGTTCTAGTTCAGTTCTAGTTCAGTTCTAGTTCAGTTCTAGTTCAGTTCTAGTTCAGTTCTAGTTCAGTTCTAGTCAGTTCTAGTTCAGTTCTAGTTCAGTTCTAGTTCAGTTCTAGTTCAGTTCTAGTTCAGTTCTAGTTCAGTTCTAGTTCAGTTCTAGTTCAGTTCTAGTTCAGTTCTAGTTCAGTTCTAGTTCAGTTCTAGTTCAGTTCTAGTGCAATTCTAGTTCTGTTTTAGTTCATTTCATGGTAATACACAAACCGCCAACAAATATATAAACAATTTTATAGTAAGTAGTTCATAATAGACATAAACAATAATAAATGACGTTTTCGATTGTGAATTCTTTGTTAGCCGGCTGTAATATTCAAGCAGATGGGCATATTCACACGTTTTACATGTTTGTAATAGTCGAAATAATATAAAAGAAAATATTTATAAATAAAAACAAAAAGAAATATTGCAAAAAAATAAACAGCAGCCCGAGTCGAAGGGTGAAGCACAACGGCTATGGTTTTAAATAAATGACAACAATAACAAGGGATATAAATTTAATAATACACATGATTATGAGGATAAATATTTATGGCTAGAAATTACATGAATATTACATGGTTTGGTTATAAATAGAAAAAAATAGGAATGAGCTTGGTATATAAAACAAATACACTAAGTATAGGAAAATACATAAAATTTTGCAAGGATTTTTGTCTTTAAATTGTTTGACGCCACAAACAACCAGTATGTATACATACATATAAATTCCCCAAACACAACTTAAGTTTGTGCAACTACAAGGACTCCCTTCTAAAGGATATTAAAATAGTAACAACAAGTGTTTGTGTGTAAACAACTATAAAAACATAAAACAACAAAAAAAAACACACGCACATCCTTTATAAAAACAAAAATAGCTTAAATAAAGGAAGCATGACAAAAATAAAAAAAGCTTTTTAAACTGAAACAGGTTTTATAACATAGACAAGGTCAATTTATAAATAAAAATACATGCAAAGATATTGACAAAAATAAGTGTATAAAGAAATAAAGGATAAATCTAATTACTTGTTCAAGCTTTTAATAAACAATCGAGTTATTTATAGCTTTCATTTTATAAAACACCAGACTTTATTTTTATTAATATTGATGAGATTAATGAATTTAAGGCTTTAATTTACCTGTTTTGGTGAAGGGAAAGAAATTCCATGATTTTTCGGTGACGTAAAATACACGTGGACATATGGCTTGTATCCAATATGGCAAACGGCTGGAATATAAGAAAAACAAATCAAATTTAAATTAAATTAATAAATGATAAATTAATGCTAATGAATTATGGAATCATATCAAAAAGATTTACTTTTTTTGATGTCCGAATAAATTATGAAGTGTTTATAGATTTATAGAAATGAATGGCAGCAGAATAAACAAATCATTATGTGATTTAGATTTACAGAAAATATTTAAACGTAAATAAATTTGAATTAAAATCAAACAGAGGAAAGTTTTTAAATATATAAACAATTTAAAATAATTTACTTCTAGTTCAATTCTAGTTTAGTTTTCAGTTCTAGTTCAGTTCAAGTTCAGTTCTAGTTTATTTCTATTTCAGTTCTAGTTCAGCTCCAGTTCAGTTCTAGTTCAGTTCTAGTTCAGTTTTAATTCAGTTCTAGTTCGATTCTAGTTTAGGTTTAGTTCAGTTCTAGTTCAGTTTTAGTTCAGTTTCAGTTCAGTTCTAGTTCATTTCTAGTTCAGTTCTAGTTCAGTTCTAGTTCAGCTCTAGTTCAGTTCTAGTTCAGCTCTAGTTCAGTTCTAGTTCAGTTCTAGTTCAGTTCTAGTTCAGTTCTAGTTCAGTTTTAGTTCAGTTCTAGTTCAGTTCTAGTTCAGTTCTAGTTCAGTTCTAGTTCAGTTCTAGTTCAGTTCTAGTTCAGTTCTAGTTCAGTTCTAGTTCAGTTCTAGTTCAGTTCTAGTTCAGTTCTAGTTCAGTTCTAGTTCAGTTCTAGTTCAGTTCTAGTCAGTTCTAGTTCAGTTCTAGTTCAGTTCTAGTTCAGTTCTAGTTCAGTTCTAGTTCAGTTCTAGTTCAGTTCTAGTTCAGTTCTAGTTCAGTTCTAGTTCAGTTCTAGTTCAGATCTAGTTCAGATCTAGTTCAGTTCTAGTTCAGTTCTAGTTCAGTTCTAGTTCAGTTCTAGTTCAGTTCTAGTTCAGTTCTAGTTCAGTTCTAGTTCAGTTCTAGTTCAGTTCTAGTTCAGTTCTAGTTCAGTTCTAGTTCAGTTCTAGTTCAGTTCTAGTTCAGTTCTAGTTCAGTTCTAGTTCAGTTCTAGTTCAGTTCTAGTTCAGTTCTAGTTCAGTTCTAGTTCAGTTCTAGTTCAGTTCTAGTTCAGCTGCAGTTCAGTTCTAGTTCAGTTCAGTTTTAATTCAGTTCTAGTTCGATTCTAGTTCAATTCTAGTTTAGTTTTAGTTCAGTTCTAGTTCAGTTTTAGTTCAGTTCTAGTTCAGTTCTAGTTCAGTTCTAGTTCAGTTCTAGTTCAGTTCTAGTTCAGTTCTAGTTCAGTTCTAGTTCAGTTCTAGTTCAGTTCTAGTTCAGTTCTAGTTCAGTTCTAGTTCAGTTCTAGTTCAGTTCTAGTTCAGTTCTAGTTCAGTTCTAGTTCAGTTCTAGTTCAGTTCTAGTTCAGTTCTAGTTCAGTTCTAGTTCAGTTCTAGTTCAGTTCTAGTTCAGTTCTAGTTCAGGTCTAGTTCAGTTCTAGTTCAGTTGTATTCTGGGTGAAATGCAACGTTGTTTAAAAGATCCATCACTTACCTTGACAAATGTATCCTTTTTTCGGTAAACTGACCTTTACCATGTTCTGGATCTTCACAGGGTTCATTGGTAACAATTTCAACACCCTCGCCGTCACCGGACTGTTCCAAACTATGGCGAGCAATCATATACAATTGCCCTACTTGGTACTGCAACAGCGAAAAAAACAAATTTTTATTTACAAAACCATTAACATTAAAACAAAAATGCAATTTGTGGACTTTAACACTTTTTTGTTGAAATGCTTAAATAACAACATTCCATCACAAAGATGCACATGCTGAGATAAAACAAATAAACAAACCTCCTCGCAAGACAAAGGCATACAAATGCGATATTCTTTTGTTAAAACCATGATAATTTAATGAAATTTACAACTTGTAATAAGTAACGAAATGAATGCACCGAAATCTGGAGGGCAAGAATTACAAGATGAAAAAAAATTACTGCAACGCGCGCCTCAGAACAATGATTTTATGAGTAGGGAAAAAATTATACTGGTGTAAAAAAACCAATAAGAAAAAAATGAGATGTGGCAGAGCCCTGAGCCGACAAATATTAACGCGGCGTCGGCTGACATTAAAAATTTCGGCGGCGGCTTAAAATCGACTGGAAGACGGCTAAGGTCTCAAATACGCTTAATTTTAAAATTTTCAAAGATTTTAAATAAAAACGGAATCCGAGAGATAAAAAAGTGGGATTTTGTATATAATTTATAACAATAAAATAGAGCAAGCACAAAAGTTGTGTGAGAAATTGTGCAGGGATGGAAAAAATAAAAAATATTAAATATGATTAATTCTTAAAAATTAAAAACAAATCCTTTCACCAAGTTTCATTTTTTCAGTTTTTTATCAGAGCGAAACTATACCCTAAGTTCAATTGTTATTAAAAAATTATTTTTTATTTAAATATTATTATTTCTGTCTTTTTAGATTTTTGCACACACACCACAACAGTTTTTTTGCAAATAAAAAAAGCAGAAAACAGTTTGGCGCGAAAAATTCTAGCAGAATTTCTTTTCGCAGTCGGCAGAATTGACATCAACTGCACTTCCCATTTAAAGCGACATCAAATTTGTTTGACACAAACGGTAAGTTTTTTGATTGTATTAGTGAAAAAAAATCACATGTATATGTATATGCGGTGTGAGTTTTTTTACTAACACAATCAAAAAGCTTACCGTTTGAGTCAAACAATTTCATGTGTCGCCAAGGCGCTTAAAATACACATGTTCGATGTCCTAGCATTTTACGGTATGACATACAAATTAATTTTATATTGTAAAATTCCATAAATTTATTGAAAGTGTTCTGTAAATTATATAAAATATGGCGAAATTTTTAATACTTATTAAGCTGAAATATTTTCGGCGACAGCGGTTTTGACAATTTGTACGGCGACTAGGCTTAGTCGGCTTAAAGCCGAATCGGCGCGGGCCTCTGGAAAGTGGTGTAAAAACGGCTGTAGTAACAGCTGTTAAAAAAATAAAGTTGCCATATGGAAAGTAAATGTAGCGGTATTATTATTTTAAAGAGCATGTTTAGAAAGAAAAGAGAGAGTTTTGTTAAACAAAATTAGGTTTTTAAGCTTTTGTTTAAGTTTTTCATAATACAAACACGTGGAATATCATGGGGAAAATACTCAAATAGGATGCCATTAAGGCTTCTATGTTTTGGTTAGTGACTCAGTTTCATATTTTTATTGGAAAATACATTTAAATTCTAGAATTTGTAGTTTAATATTTAACGTATTTTTTCCCCAAATTTATACTACAACTTGGGAGCACAGTTTTTTGGTATGTTTCCAAAGTGCAATTAATTACCTGTGAATTTCGTTGTGAAAAACCTCAAAAAAGAGGGACAGAAAACAAAACAAAAAACGAAGTGAAAATATTTTTCTGTAATGCGCAGACATCTGCGCCGATTCGCATTAAAGTTAGCTAAGACTAGCCGCTGTTAATATATTAAAGCAAGCCGTCTTCAAAAATCATGATTTTCGCAAATTAATGAATACAATATAGTGCCAATTCACACTGGCAAACTTTTTTTTGGAAACTTTTGATTTTTGTGTGTGAGAAAATAAGAATGAAATATCAACCATCTCTTACTCTCATAGTACATCATAAGAAAGATTTTTAAAATCCGGATTTTGGAAGAACATTTTTTGAATAAATGTTCTTCCAAAATCACTCGTATTCTGCATTTATTCAAACACATCTGGTCAAGTTATCTATTCATATCTTTTTATATCATTGAAAATATTTAAAAGTTTTGGAATTTTCGTCGGCTTACAGTCAATTTTAAGCTGCCGTCGTAATTTTCCAGTATCAAACGCCGTCGTTGTTAATGTTTCGTCGGCGCAGGTCTTTGGTATTGCGTTTTATTATTTCACTTCATAATCACGTAGCAAAAGCTTTTATTAGCATAAAAAATTACAAAAATAATAATAAATATTAATAACATTTGTATAAATTTAATACAAAAAGGTATATTTTTTATTATACTTTTATAAAATATAAAAATAATCAAGAAAATATTGAATAAAATACGAAAAATATTGAAAAGAAAAAAAAATTTCACAATTCTTTTGTGACACAAAACTTTTTCTTGTGTATTCATCTTTTGTGTGTAATGTGTTAAATAAGTAAAAAAGTGAAAAAATATAAAAAATTTCTAAAAAAAACAACATTCCTTTACAGAAGGCCCTTAAGTGTTAAGTGTTTAGTCCCACAAGGAGTACATTCCTATTAGATTTTCGACAAGCCGGTATTGGCAATGCTAAGGATCCGTTTAAAAATGGGTCCTCATCAGCAGTTACAGCGCAGCAAGGAGTGGACATGTTGTTTTGGCCTACATGTTCATACCGCCACCATAATGATTGGCCTTTGGCATTTGGTGAGTTATTTTAAGACACACAAATACAAAAAAAAAACTAATTTTTAGGCAAAAAGGAAAAGAACAATGTAATAGAAAACCGTTCAGAAAAGGACAATTTAATCATTAAAACATATTACTTAGTTATTTAATTTGAAGCTATTATAAGGATAAATGTCTGAAGTTGATGTGTTTTGCTTTTTCAATCGTTTCACTTATTTTGGTCTATTTCTATATATGGCCTTGTTCAGGGTCATTATAGAGTTTTTGTTGTTGTTGTTTTTGTCATTGGGTGGTTGTGGAGCTCTTTCTTGCATTTCAATTTACGTAAATTGTAGATTTTTTTGTGCTATATGTATATTAATTCTGTTTAATCTATTCTCTCTTTTGTATATATAGTTATTTTTTTATCGGTTGTCAATTTTTTATTATTATTTTTTACTTTGCTTTTGTTTAATCGAGGTCTTTTGTTATTTTTGCAATCGTGACTCAGTTTTTTTATTTTTTATATTTCATCAAAATCTAGTTTTATTTGTATAAACAATTGTAATCAGCAAAAGATGTTTTTTGTTTATAAAGCAAATCTTTAATATACGGGGAAAAAACTTTCTAAAATTATAAAGATGCTTAATAAGGGGAATATTTACAACGCTTTGATACACTTTAAGTCACAGTTGTAGGAAATTAATGTCATCTAAAGTTTTATAAATTTTGGAAATTTCTATTTTTTTTATAAAAACTAGTGGGAAAACCAGACCTCAAAGTAGAAATTGATTTGAATTAAAGTAAAAATGCCAAAAAATGAAATGAAATTAATGTAAAACTGAACTATGTAGGTCTTTTCTAGTTCTGTTCTAGTTCTGTTCTAGTTCTGTTCTAGTTCTGTTCTAGTTCTGTTCTAGTTCTGTTCTAGTTCTGTTCTAGTTCTGTTCTAGTTATGTTCTAGTTCTGTTCTAGTTCTGTTCTAGTTCTGTTCTAGTTCTGTTCTAGTTCTGTTCTAGTTCTGTTCTAGTTCTGTTCTAGTTCTGTTCTAGTTCTGTTCTAGTTCTGTTCTAGTTCTGTTCTAGTTCTGTTCTAGTTCTGTTCTAGTTCTGTTCTAGTTCTGTTCTAGTTCTGTTCTAGTTCTGTTCTAGTTCTGTTCTAGTTCTGTTCTAGTTCTGTTCTAGTTCTGTTCTAGTTCTGTTCTAGTTCTGTTCTAGTTCTGTTCTAGTTCTGTTCTAGTTCTGTTCTAGTTCTGTTCTAGTTCTGTTCTAGTTCTGTTCTAGTTCTGTTCTAGTTCTGTTCTAGTTCTGTTCTAGTTCTGTTCTAGTTCTGTTCTAGTTCTGTTCTAGTTCTGTTCTAGTTCTGTTCTAGTTCTGTTCTAGTTCTGTTCTAGTTCTGTTCTAGTTCTGTTCTAGTTCTGTTCTAGTTCTGTTCTAGTTCTGTTCTAGTTCTGTTCTAGTTCTGTTCTAGTTCTGTTCTAGTTCTGTTCTAGTTCTGTTCTAGTTCTGTTCTAGTTCTGTTCTAGTTCTGTTCTAGTTCTGTTCTAGTTCTGTTCTAGTTCTGTTCTAGTTCTGTTCTAGTTCTGTTCTAGTTCTGTTCTAGTTCTGTTCTAGTTCTGTTCTAGTTCTGTTCTAGTTCTGTTCTAGTTCTGTTCTAGTTCTGTTCTAGTTCTGTTCTAGTTCTGTTCTAGTTCTGTTCTAGTTCTGTTCTAGTTCTGTTCTAGTTCTGTTCTAGTTCTGTTCTAGTTCTGTTCTAGTTCTGTTCTAGTTCTGTTCTAGTTCTGTTCTAGTTCTGTTCTAGTTCTGTTCTAGTTCTGTTCTAGTTCTGTTCTAGTTCTGTTCTAGTTCTGTTCTAGTTCTGTTCTAGTTCTGTTCTAGTTCTGTTCTAGTTCTGTTCTAGTTCTGTTCAGTTCTGTTCTAGTTCTGTTCTAGTTCTGTTCTAGTTGTTCTAGTTCTGTTCTAGTTCTGTTCTAGTTCTGTTCTAGTTCTGTTCTAGTTCTGTTCTAGTTCTGTTCTAGTTCTGTTCTAGTTCTGTTCTAGTTCTGTTCTAGTTCTGTTCTAGTTCTGTTCTAGTTCTGTTCTAGTTCTGTTCTAGTTCTGTTCTAGTTCGTTCTAGTTCTGTTCTAGTTCTGTTCTAGTTCTGTTCTAGTTCTGTTCTAGTTCTGTTCTAGTTCTGTTCTAGTTCTGTTCTAGTTCTGTTCTAGTTCTGTTCTAGTTCTGTTCTAGTTCTGTTCTAGTTCTGTTCTAGTTCTGTTCTAGTTCTGTTCTAGTTCTGTTCTAGTTCTGTTCTAGTTCTGTTCTAGTTTGTTCTAGTTCTGTTCTAGTTCTGTTCTAGTTCTGTTCTAGTTCTGTTCTAGTTTTGTTCTAGTTCTGTTCTAGTTCTGTTCTAGTTCTGTTCTAGTTCTGTTCTAGTTCTGTTCTAGTTCTGTTCTAGTTCTGTTCTAGTTCTGTTCTAGTTCTGTTCTAGTCTGTTCTAGTTCTGTTCTAGTTCTGTTCTAGTATGTTCTAGTTCTGTTCTAGTTCTGTTCTAGTTCTGTCTAGTTCCTGTTCTAGTTCTGTTCTAGTTCTTTTCTAGTCCTGTTCTAGTTCTGTTCTAGTTCTGTTCCAATTTAATCATAAATTGATATTAAACAATTGAAGCACCCGTTATTAATCAATTTTAATGAAAACCAAAAATAGAATATTCCAAAAAAACACCTGCAAATTTTATTTATATATATATTTTTTTAATTAATTTTATCAATATTTTTGTTTAAAGGTGTTTTTTTAATATTTATACAAATGTATTAAATTGAATTTTGTTTTAGTATATTTTATGCAAAGAAATAAAATATAATAAATACAAATATTGATTTCATGTCATTTATTTCATGAACACAAAAAACATGACACTTCAATAGTGTGTATTTTTTACAAAAATGAGACCAGCTGTTTGTAATTAAAACAAAAATTCAGAAAAAAAAACTTAAATTCTGAATAATTTTTCTGAACTATAATACAAAAATTCTGAAATATATAAAAGATTACTTAAAATATCTGATAACTCAGAATGAAGATACTTAATTTTTTGCAATTAGTTGGTCACATTATTGGCGAAGGTGTTGCAAATACATTCATAGACATGGTACTTAAGTACTATTATTATAATCTTGATAAAACATTGTTGCTATTGTAAATAGTTTACAATATTTTCTATTAATTATTTAAATTTCTAATACAAACCGATTTACAGACACACAAGTATTTTACACAAGAAAAAGTAAATTAAAACAAATGTTTAAAAAATTTAAACCTTGAAAATTTTACAAGAAAATGTTAACAAATGCTAGAACTGTTAGGAATTATTATAAATTGTTACACATTTGTCAGGGTTTTTAAATATTTAAAAGAATTTTCAAAGAAAATTTGTAATAGTAAAAATACAAAATCTTTTTCTACCTAAACTTAACAAAAGACTTCACACCTTTGAAAGCATTTTGCTAATGACTGTTAAACCTCAAATCTTTTAATTATATTCAAGACAACGTTTCTTTTTTGGTTTTGTTTTTTCTTTTACTTTTTCTTTATTTAGAAATTTCTATAATATGTTAATTTTTTCTTGCTATAAAAATTGTTTATTTTTGCATTTTTTTTTTTAATTTTTATTAAAATTGTAAATGCATTCGTCAGTAAACAAATCATGTGCAAGAAATATAAAACTTTTTCTTGTGTGTTTATTTAACACAACAAAGTGTCAATTCAGCTAAAAACGGAAGTGTTTTTACTGATTAATTTGCATAAATTAAAAATAAATAAATCAGATGATGGGAAATTAATTGAAAATTGAAACCGGTTTAAAAACAATAATAATGAAATTAATGAATTTCGTTTGGAATAAATCGGCAATAATATTAAATTAAAGAATGAAATAAAAACCTGAATAATATTGAATAAATTCTTAAATAAATTTTTCAATAATTTTCACAATGTTGCAAAATTGTTAATGGAATTCTATTAAAATATGAGGAAATTCTAGAACTGAACTAGAACTGAACTAGAACTGAACTAGAACTGAACTAGAACTGAACTAGAACTGAACTAGAACTGAACTAGAACTGAACTAGAACTGAACTAGAACTGAACTAGAACTGAACTAGAACTGAACTAGAACTGAACTAGAACTGAACTAGAACTGAACTAGAACTGAACTAGAACTGAACTAGAACTGAACTAGAACTGAACTAGAACTGAACTAGAACTGAACTAGAACTGAACTAGAACTGAACTAGAACTGAACTAGAACTGAACTAGAACTGAACTAGAACTGAACTAGAACTGAACTAGAACTGAACTAGAACTGAACTAGAACTGAACTAGAACTGAACTAGAACTGAACTAGAACTGAACTAGAACTGAACTAGAACTGAACTAGAACTGAACTAGAACTGAACTAGAACTGAACTAGAACTGAACTAGAACTGAACTAGAACTGAACTATAACTGAACTAGAACTGAACTAGAACTGAACTAGAACTGAACTAGAACTGAACTAGAACTGAACTAGAACTGAACTAGAACTGAACTAGAACTGAACTAGAACTGAACTAGAACTGAACTAGAACTGAACTAGAACTGAACTAGAACTGAACTAGAACTGAACTAGAACTGAACTAGAACTGAACTAGAACTGAACTAGAACTGAACTAGAACTGAACTAGAACTGAACTAGAACTGAACTAGAACTGAACTAGAACTGAACTAGAACTGAACTAGAACTGAACTAGAACTGAACTAGAACTGAACTAGAACTGACTAGAACTGAACTAGAACTGAACTAGAACTGAACTAGAACTGAACTAGAACTGAACTAGAACTGAACTAGAACTGAACTAGAAACTGAACTAGAACTGAACTAGAACTGAACTAGAACTGAACTAGAACTGAACTAGAACTGAACTAGAACTGAACTAGAACTGAACTAGAACTGAACTAGAACTGAACTAGAACTGAACTAGAACTGAACTAGAACTGAACTAGAACTGAACTAGAACTGAACTAGAACTGAACTAGAACTGAACTAGAACTGAACTAGAACTGAACTAGAACTGAACTAGAACTGAACTAGAACTGAACTAGAACTGAACTAGAACTGAACTAGAACTGAACTAGAACTGAACTAGAACTGAACTAGAACTGAACTAGAACTGAACTAGAACTGAACTAGAACTGAACTAGAACTGAACTAGAACCGAACTAGAACTGAACTAGAACTGAACTAGAACTGAAGTAGAACTGAACTAGAACTGAACTAGAACTGAACTAGAACTGAACTAGAACTGAACTAGAACTGAACTAAAACTGAACTAAAACTGAACTAAAACTGAACTAGAACTGAACTAGAACTGAACTAAAACTGAACTAGAACTAAAATAGAACTGAACTAAAACTGAACTAGAACTGAACTAGAACTGAACTAGAACTGAACTAGAACTGAACTAGAACTGAACTAGAACTGAACTAAAACTGAACTAGAACTAAAATAGAACTGAACTAGAACTGAACTAGAACTGAACTAGATCTGAACTAGAACTGAACTAGAACAGAACTAGAACTGAACTAGAACTGAACTAGAACTGAACTAGAACTGAACTAGAACTGAACTAGAACTGAACTAGAACTGAACTAGAACTGAACTAGAACTGAACTAGAACTGAACTAGAACTGAACTAGAACTGAAGTAGTTCTATACTACAAACAAAAACTAAAAAGTGTTCAAATCTTGATAAAATAAATGTTTTGTTTATTGGATTCAAATTTTTTATATGGATATTTTAATTGTTTTAAAATTTTCCTTGATTTAATTAATCACTTTGGATTTTTTTATTGCAAAATAAACATTTAGCATTCTAAAGTACAAATACGCAAAATTTTTTCAAATTGAATTATGTACCTAAAGCACAGTAGTCAATCAATTTGATTACGTATGCAATGATATTGATTCTGTGTATATATTTACTTTGACTTGTTTGAATAAGTCTGTGGGTAATTTACAAAAAATTTCAAATAAATGTCTAAAATGATGTTCTGTTTATTATGTCAAGTATAAGTTTGATTTAAGAGTTTCTTAATTCTATTGTTTTCAAAAGATTTGATAAACTATGACCGTTTATGATTAAGATCTTTAAGAATAAAGATGAAATTGTTACGTAAACGATTACAGATTTTGACTGTTATCACTTTAAATGGTTTAATTTATTTTTTAACAAATTTATTACTATTTTTCAATTTTATTGTGCTAATTCAAACAATTAGTTTAGTGCGAATTAGACTCTTAACTAATCTGTAAACTTTCCCTAGAGGAAATTTTCTTTCAAACAAAAAGTTAACAGTTTGTTAGAGATTCGAGAAAATCTAACAACTAAACTTAAAAGTTCATATTAAAAATTATATATTTCAATCTAAATTTTAATCACGTTTGGTAATTTATTTGCATTTATTGAAAGCAAACATTTATGATATACATTTATTAAACTGACGTTTATTTATTTTCAAAATTTGTCTTCAACTAACAACAAAAACAAATACTCCGAGTGACGAAGATTATTTATTGTTAGGAAATATGTTAATTAATTTAAAAATTACTATGAAAATATGTTTAACACTTTATTGAATTAAACTTTAACACATTTTCTTTCACTTCTTATTTGTTTACATTTTATAGTTTCTAAATATTTTGGCTTTAAGTTTATTGGCGGTTATTATGCGTAATCCCCATATGATGGAAGAATTGGAAAATAGCTATGATTACAATGTGGATCTCAATGCTCCAGCCTTGCCGACTCCCTTAAGTAAAGTTGATCCTCCCTATGCGTATCGCGATCATTCATTGAATTATCGTAAACAATATCGTAAGTTTAAAGAGAAGGACAGAACTAAAACAGAACTAGAACAGAACTAGAGCAGAACTAGAACAGAACTAGAAAAGAACTAGAACAGAACTAGAACAGAACTAGAACAGAACTAGAACAGAACTAGAACAGAACTAGAACAGAACTAGAACAGAACTAGAACAGAACTAGAACCAGAACAGAACTAGAACAGAACTAGAACAGAACTAGAACAGAACTAGAACAGAACTAGAACAGAACTAGAACAGAACTAGAACAGAACTAGAACAGAACTAGAACAGAACTAGAACAGAACTAGAACAGAACTAGAACAGAACTAGAACAGAACTAGAACAGAACTAGAACAGAACTAGAACAGAACTAGAACAGAACTAGAACAGAACTAGAACAGAACTAGAACAGAACTAGAATGAACTGAAACTGAACTAGATCTAAACTAGCACTAATTTTGTAATCAATTTGTTTATATTTTTTCAAAGAAAACTATGATATGGGCGGCTTGGTTTGCACCTGTATGATAGCCATTACTATGATGATGATTTATGGTGCAATTAAGGGAAAACCCTCTCACCTCTTGCCCTTCTTCTGCTTGCAATTGTTTGATTTTGCCATTACTACGTAAGTTTTTGTTAAATTTTATTAAAATGTTAATAAATTTAATTACTTTTTTTACAGTTTAACTGCTGCCGGCTATTTGTGTTATCTCCAAGCCATACACCGCTTAATTGATGAATCTCACCGTTTGCCCTGGCGTGAAAAGTTATTGGAATTGTCACCCGAAGAATTGGTCATAGTAGTGTTGATCGTTTTCGTGTGCATTGTATTCCTTAAGGCCTATGCCATTGGCATTGTCTGGCGTTGTTATAAATATTTAACTTTGCGTCAGCAGAGCATGCGCACTCTATTACCTTTGGGTATACCCGATTTGACAGCCACCAATTTGGGTTCGGAAGAGAGAGCATATTCGACTCTCTTGCCCAATTATGATGAGGCTGTTAATCAGTATATGAAACAGGCACCACCACCCTCCTATCAAGTGGCCATGTCTAATTATCAGACTCAAGAACAAGAAAATAATTTACCCGGTTCAGTGGCCGTCGAAGAGGAGGATAATAATAATGATTCTTCGAACAATAATAATACTGTTCATATTAATAATAATACACCACCCATGAGACGTAATGAAAATACTGCTGCTGTTGCTGCTGCTGCTCATATAGCTGAAGAACTGGGTGCTGTAGGTGGTCCAGTTGCTGCTGCTGCTGAGAATGATGAAGCTTTGATACCACCTCCTTCTTATAATGAGGTTATTATTGAACCGGTTGTAAACACTCCGGAGGTATCTACTAAGAGTAACGATATTTTAGTTGTTGTTAATTCACCAACTACTACCGGGTCCTCTAATGCTAATATTGCTCAAGTTAATAATAATAATGAAAGTCAAGCTTAAGATCAGTTATCGGTGATCTTTTCAAAGGTAATTTTTTTGGGGGTTGTGTTAAGGAAAGAAAAGAAGACAGTTGTGCCTAAAGTTGTTTTATACTTTCAAAAAAGGAATAGTTTTTGGAAGAAAACTGGCAGCTTTTAAAATTCTATACTATTTAAAAAATTTTAAAACTTTTTATTGTTTAGGAGAGATTCAAACTACTACAAACTACAAAAAAGTACTTTTTTTATAAAAAGTTTACTAAATTTGGTACTTTTTTAAGTATTAAAACGTAATTTAAAATTTTATTAATTTTTTAAGAGCAAAAGCTTTTTTTTTTAATTTAAATCTATATACTAAACTAGTTTTTGCAAATAGGTACTATAAATAGTACTTTTTCCACAAAAAGGTACTAAATTTAGTACTTTTTTATACTTTTATTACAAATTCGGTGAGCATACATTGATTTTAATGTAAAAAGCTAATAATTTTCTGTAAAAAATTTTGATGCCCATTTTGGGTATTTAAAATCCCCATTTTGGGAATTTGCAAAAATGGGGTATATTTGTTGTTTAACGATAAAATTACATTAATCTAAAACAAATTATACAATTTCTGTTCAAAATTTTAAAAAATTTAAATTTTTAAAAATTAAATTTTCAAAATCCCCATTTTTGAGATTAATCCCCAGGAGGGAAAATTTATTAAATTTTATTAAAATACCTAAAACTAAACATGTTTTTATTAAAATTTCTTAAAAATATTTAATTCCCAAAGTGGTTTTTACAAATCCCCAGTTTTGGAGTTTGCTAAAAATAACAGATTTTTGTAATTTAGCAACATAATTCGATGAAACTGAAACAAATTATTGATTTGATGTTAAAATTTTTTACAAATTTGTTTTTTCAAAATCCCCATTTTTGAGATTTAGCCCCAGTAGTAAAATACATAAAATTAAACGCGTTTTATTAAAATTTCGTATAAAATGTAAATTCCCAAAGTGGTTTTGGTAAATCCCCATTTTAGCGATTGATAAAAACAATAGATTTTTGTAATTTAGCAACATAATAGGATGAAACTGAAACAAATTATATATTTTCCGTTAAAATTTTCTTCAAATTTAAATTCCTAAATTGTATTAAAAAATCCCAATTTTTTAAATTTATCCCCAGGATGGAAAATTCATTAAATTTTATTAAAATACCCAAAACTAAACAGGTTTTTATTAAAATTTCGTTAAAAATTTGAATTCCCAAATTGATTTTGTTAAATCCCCATTTTGGGGATTGATAAAAACAATAGATTTTTGTAATTTAACAACACAATACGATGAATCTGAAACCAATTATGAATTTTCTGATAAAATATCTTAAAAATCTAAATTCCTAAATTGTATTAAAAAAATCCCCATTTTTGAGATTTATCCTCAGGAGCGAAAATTCATTAAATTTTACTAAAACATATAAAATTTAACATTTTTTCAATAAAATTTCGTAAAAAATTTGAATTCCTAAACTGGTTTTAAGAAAAATGTAATTCTAAAATTGTGTTATAAAAATCCCCATTTTGGGAATTGTTAAAAGAATATAATTTTTTAAACTAAAAGTTAAATAATCTATAAAAAAGTAATATTTTTCTTAAAACTAAAATTCCCATTTTGGGTATTGTAAATCCCCCTTTTTGGGAATTTACAAAAATCAAGTGATTTTGGTAATTTAGCAAAATTATTACAAAAAACTTTATAAAACTAAAGATTTTTTTATCAAAAAATTCTTTAAATTTTAAATTCCCAATTTGGTTATTAAAAATCCCCTTTAGGGGAACATTTCCTAAAATAGTAAAATCATACAAGTTGTATTAAAATTTTATTTACTAAACGTTTTGTGTTAAAAATTTGTCAAAAAATTGAATTCCCAAATTGGATTTTGAGAATCCCCATTTTGGGAATTGTTAAAAATAAGAGTTTTAAGTTTAAATTTCGCAAAATTACATTAAACTAACACAATTTATAGATTTTTTGTAAAAAAATTTAATTTCCAAAGGGGGGATTTTTTAAAGTTTTTTAGAGCACAACTTTCCTCTTTTACTTTGTTTAACATAAACTGAAACAAAATTTTATTGGTTTGTAAACAAGATTTATAGTATTTAGAACAAAAACAAGAAACACATGAATAAAAAATGAAATAAAATTTAAAAAAATGCAGGTCCTTTTATAAGAAAACTCTTTAAATCTAAAATATCAAAATTAAACTTTAAAAAATATTCCTAAAAAACACACAAAGAAGAATTGCAACAAATAAAAATAAATGACACAACAATTTACAAAATTAAATTAATAAAAATAAAACTCTATCTCTCTCTTTCTACTAAACAAAGCACACCTTAGATTCTTATCTTAAAAAAAATAAACAAGAATAAAAGCTTCAAAAAATATAAAAATAAATTAAAAAAACAAGAGGAAATTATCATAAATTTGATTATAATTTCTTTAAATTTTGCATTAATATGTTAACAAATATGAAAAACTCCTAAATCCCCCTTCCCCCAAAACAACAACTTCATTTTCAAACCCTCCCCCCATTATTAAGAAAAGCAGCAAACTATACCTAATAAACAAAATAAGTAGTTGTTTCTTATATTTATAAAAATAAAAACAAATTTTCAAAATCAATTTTTTCTATTTAACTAAATTTTGTAGAGTTTTATTATCTCTCCTATTTAGTAGTTTTATATTTAAAGCAAAAAAACTATTTAAGTTTAACTTGCCCACAAAATTTTATTTTTAAAATTTTAAACAAAAACAATAGTTTGCTTTCCCTTTTTTTCAAACTATTGCCAATTGTTTTATTATGTTTTTTATTTGTTTCATATATACATATTATTATTATAATTATTATTTTTTATTGAATTAAACATTTCTTTTATATATAAATATTTATACTTATATCATTAACTTATAAGACTTTTTATGAAGAAAAAAAAAAAAAAAAAAACAAAATAAATATAAAAATAATTATTATATTATTATTATAAAAAAATATATATTATTATTATTATTACTGTATGTAAAATGTCTTACACCTACAACATCAATACATACACACAAGAATCAACAACAACAAAAACAAATAAATAACAAATATTCGAATATATTATAGTTTTTAATTAAACAAAAAAACAAAAAATATTACAAAAATATATAAAAATAAATCCACAAATTTTGAAATGTTGAAGTTTTAAGACGTTTCTTACAAAGAAACTTTGAAAGAGAGACTTTTAGAAATTTGTGGCAAAATAAAAAAAAATAACAAAAGTGTTTTATTTAGAACTGATGTAGAACTGAACTAAAAATGAATTAGAACTGAAGTAGAACTGAAGTAGAACTGAAATAGAACTGAAGTAGAACTGAGGTAGAACTGAAGTAGAACTGAACTAAAACCGAACTAGAACTATAATTGAACTAGAACTGAACTAGAACTGAACTAGAACTGAACTAGAACTGAACTAGAACATAACTAGAAATGAACCAGAACTGAATTAGAACTGAACTAGAACTGAACTAGAACTGAACTAGAACTGAACTAGAACTGAACTAGAACTGAACTAGCACTGAACTAGAACTGAACTAGAACTGAACTAGAACTGAACTGGAACTGAACTAGAACTGAACTAGAACTGAACTAGAACTGAACTAGAACTGAACTAGAACTGAACTAGAACTGAACTAGAACTAAACTAGAACTGAACTAGAACTGAACTAGAAATGAACTAGAACTGAACTAGAACTGAACTAGAATTGAACTAGAACTGAACTAGAACTGAACTAGAACTAAACCTGAGCAGAACTAGAACTGAACTAGTACTGAACTAGAACTGAACTAAAACTGAACTAAAACTCAACTGGAACTGAACTAGAACTAAATAAAACTTAACTAGAACTGAATTAGAACTGAACTAGAACTGAACTAGAACGGAACTAGAACAGAACTTGAACAGAACTAGAACAGAACTAGAATAGAACTTGAACAGAACTAGAACAGAACTAGAACTAGAACATAACTAGAACAGAACTAGAACAGAACTAGAACTGAACTAGAACAGAACTAGAACTGAACTAGAACAGAACTAGAACAGAACTAGAATAGAACTAGAACAGAACTAGAACAGAACTAGAACAGAACTAGAATAGAACTAGAACAGAACTAGAACTAGAACAGAACTAGAACAGAACTAGAACAGAACTAGAACAGAACTAGAACAGAACTAGAACAGAACTAGAACTGAACTAGAACAGAACTAGAACAGAACTAGAACAGAACTAGAACAGAACTAGAACAGAACTAGAACAGAACTAGAACTGAACTAGAACTGAACTAAAACAGAACTAGAACAGAACTAGAACAGAACTAGAACAGAACTTGAACAGAACTAGAACAGAACTAGAACAGAACTAGAACAGAACTAGAACAGAACTAGAACAGAACTAGAACAGAACTAGAACAGAACTAGAACAGAACTAGAACAGAACTACAACAGAACTGGAACAGAACTAGAACAGAACTAGAACAGATCTAGAACAGAACTAGAACAGAACTAGAACAGAACTAGAACAGAACTAGAACAGAACTAGAACATAACTAGAACAGAACTAGAACAGAACTAGAACAGAACTAGAACAGAACTAGAACAGAACTAGAACAGAACTAGAACAGAACCAGAACAGAACAGAAGTGGAACCAGAACGGAACTAGAACCGATCCGGAACTAAGGTTGAACTAGACTAGAACTGAACTAGAACAAAAGTAGAACTGAACTACAACAGAACTGTACTACAACTTGAATTGGAATTTAGAATTTGAACAGAACAAAAACTAGACCTAACTATTAAAAAGTTTATCCCTATTGTTGTCCTTGCAAAGTTTCTCACATTAAAGTTGATTAACTTTGGCCCACTGTAGCTAGGCTTGTATGTAAAATGTATGCTCCCAAATAGTAAATATCATAAGTCCAACTTGTCCTCTATTAATATTTCAAATTTCAAAGAAATCGGACCACAAATTTAGAAGTTACATAAAAATAAAGATTTCTTCAATGTGCCCAGTGCTCTCTCTCTCTTAAAACTTTTATTAAGTTATTTGCGCAAATCAACTACAACATTTACTTGCTCTTACTGCTTTTACGGCTTTGACAGTTTCTTAAGTTGTTTCTCGCAAAAAGCTTTTACTCTTTTTTTCACTCTTAATAATTCCATTCCTTTTCATTGCAAAATTCAGTTTACGCGCAAATTTCATACGGTTCGGTTGTCTAGTGGAAGTGTCTTAGAAAATTTTAATTTTTTTTCGGGAAATATTAAAGAAACTTAAAATATTTTTGCATAAAAATGTTGTACAAGTGTTGTTTAATATTTGTGTGTAAAAATTTTGTTGAAATGTTTTGTGTAAATGTAAGAAAATTTAGTGTAAAGTTGTTAAAAATTTGCTAAATTTTCTTCATATTTTTTTTTTCTAAGCGTCCCGTTCGTTTTGTTTACGTTTATATTAATGCGAAGGTGTGAGTGTGTGTGTGTGTTTGCTTTAGTTCTGTTATAATAGAAAAAGTGTTAAAAAGAAGAAGAGTGAAATAAAAAGTGTTTTATAGTAGAGTGCTTTTAGGCAATGCTAGTATTTAAAGCTAAATAGCATGATATATAAAAGGGAATATAATTAAATCCCTAAAAATGTGTTTTTTGAAGTGTGATTTTAGGGAATAAAATAAAAAAATATATCAAAATATAAATAAAAATAAAAAAATCATATAAAAAGGCATAAAAAATAAAATAAAAAAGAAAATTAGAAAAAAATATATAAAAAAGTAAATTATCTAAAATAAATAATATATATAAAAAATATATTAAATCTAACCGGAACTGGAAATAATTAATAATAACAAGTAAGTGACCATTTTTCTCTCTTTATATACTATTTTACCAACTTTTTAAACAATTTTTTAACTGATTTAAATATTAGTTTTTTAAATTTCTCTAAAACTGTCAAAATAAAAAAAGTATTTGTTTTTCCTGAATTTAAAATTTTTTACAAACACCTTACACACAGCGGCCCTAACTAGAATTTACAAAATTGGGTATTGAACTTGACTAACTTCTATCTCTTATAGCAACAAATAATTAGGTAAATTTTATTTATAATTCTAATGTATTCTATAATACTGCGTATGGTATATTTTTAGTTACTTCAAAACTTTGGTACTTTAATTGCAATAACTTAGCTAAGGTTGTAAACTCTGCTAAAAATTATGTAACCAAGCAGTTGCTACAATTTATAACTTTTATGGTACATTCTATGTTTTTGTCAAATTATATCACTTACTACAATGCTATAAATGCAAAGGTACTAAAGTACTCAATGGTTTAAGTCTTTATTAAATAGCTGACGCAAAATACCACAGTTTTGGGACTTTTTCCTTATGGTTTCAAAAGGGATGATAGTTTTTTGAGAAAATATGATTCCAGCTGATGGTAAATTCCCATTATTAAATAAATAATTTGTACACAGCCTCCCAAAAGTAGATGAACTGAAATAAAAGTGAACTAGAACTGAACTAGAACTGAACTAGAACTGAACTAGAACTGAACTAGAACTGAACTAGAACTGAACTAGAACTGAACTAGAACTGAACTAGAACTAAACTAGAACTAAACTAGAACTGAACTAGAACTGAACTAGAACTGAACTAGAACTGAACTAGAACTGAACTAGAACTGAACTAGAACTGAACTAGAACTGAACTAGAACTGAACTAGAACTGAACTAGAACTGAACTAGAACTAAACCAGAACTGAACTAGAACTGAACTAGAACTAAACTAGAACTGAACTAGAACTGAATTAGAACTGAACTAGAACTGAACTAGAACTGAACTAGAACTGAACTAGAACTGAACTAGAACTGAACTAGAACTGAACTAGAACTGAACTAGAACTGAACTAGAACTGAACTAGAACTGAACTCGAACTGAACTAGAACTGAACTAGAACTGAACTAGAACTGAACTAGAACTGAACTAGAACTGAACTAGAACTAAACCAGAACTGAACTAGAACTGAACTAGAACTAAACTAGAACTGAACTAGAACTGAACTAGAACTGAACTAGAACTGAACTAGAACTGAACTAGAACTGAACTAGAACTGAACTAGAACTGAACTAGAACTGAACTAGAACTGAACTAGAACTGAACTAGAACTGAACTAGAACTGAACTAGAACTGAACTAGAACTGAACTAGAACTGAACTAGAACTGAACTAGAACTGAACTAGAACTGAACTAGAACTGAACTAGAACTGAACTAGAACTGAACTAGAACTGAACTAGAACTGAACTAGAACTGAACTAGAACTGAACTAGA